ATGAATCTTCTGCTAGAACATGGAACCATATGCCGCCATATGTTTTGTCTTTTGTGCTAGTGACGAGTGGAGCAAGGCCCTTAGGGCCACTGCTCGTAGGAAAACGAAACAAAAGAAAGAGAGAGTTACGGTAGTAAGTAGTTGTATCTTGTAACCCATAACTGCTGGAAAGCAGACCTGACTTCGGATCCAGAACATATATTGCTGGCCTGCTCCTCCGTCACACGAAATTTGCTGAACGTCTCTTGAGATGTTGGGACCCTTGCAGATGCACTGCTGGGGTCCTTCAGAAAAAGACTATTCAACAAGGAATACGTGGGCCCAATTTCTTTTTCTTTTGTGCCCTTCGATATTTTAGAAGGGAGGTGTACCATTTGCTACCTCAGCCAGCCCCTCTCTCCAATTTCTTTTTTTTACCCTATTTATTGGGGTGCGCCGCATCACGTGCGCACATGCTTGCATGTGCGCTATGCGCCACACGTGCGGAGCTCGCGCGCACGCGATGCGCCGCAGGTATGGGTTGGAGTATAGGGGTGATATATAGGGTATATTGGGGGGTTTAATAAGGGTGTTGGCGGCGGTTTGGGGGTGTTGGGGTGGTGTATGGGGGTATTAAGGGCCGCTATGGGGGTGTTGGTGGTGTTATTGGGGGTTCTGGGACCCCACCGCCCCCCAAAAGAAAGTGTGGGGTGCCGATGACCCCCGACCGGTAGGTGCCGACCAGCCGATCGGTCGGCAGGTCGTCAGCCAACCAGTCAAGGGCCGCCGACCGTCGGCGGGTCCAACATTGATCAAGTATGATAATGCATGATAAAAATTGGCAGTTTTAACTGTTGTATCTGAGAAGGCCACAATCTCAAAATCATCATGCTCTCCACTGAGCCATGTCATCTTCCCAGCTTGTTGTGCAACATCAACACCATGACAACATCAGGCATCACAGCGTCAGCATGACATGTCATTGTCATACCAAACCAGGCCACGTCATGACCCATGATGGGGATTATCTGAGAGGAATACCCTTTCACACGTGGGACAGAGCAACTCCATATTGGGGGGAGATAGTATAGTGACAACCAGAGGAGTGCGTGGCCAAACAGCGTGCAGGCGGTAGCCTGGTGGGCAGTACTGCATGAGGTACCTTACCCGATTCATTGCAAGAATCAAAGTTGTGAGGTTCAAGTGGTTACTTTTGCTTATGTGGAGGAGAAGAGGCAGTAGGGAGACGGAGGAAGACATGACCGCTGAGAAGAAACTATAGGAGATGTAGATGCAATAACCCATGCAGTATGCCCCGTGGAATGTCTGAGGGCCCTGTCAGGCCGCATTCAGTCCCAGGCTGAAAGGGGGAAAAGAGCCCCACGTGAGATTCAAGGCCTGCACGAATAACAGTTGACTAATGTCAACTATAGGACAACCAACAGTCAAAGTCAAAGTGTACCCAGCCCAGGCCGCTGGTCAGACGCACACACTTGTTTGTATGCAGGTACCCAGACAACATCAAGACCAAAGGGAGGTCTGCAACTATATGCAATCCAGGCCCTCGGCTGCGAGTCAATCTGTACGAGTGTGGGTGGGGAATTTGAGGCCAGACAGCCTCGTCAAACACTACATAACGCTTGGCCTCCAGGTGGTCAACACTCAGTCTTGCTATGCTGCCTCAACACTGGCTTGACTCTGGCTGGTCGCTGGCTTGACGCTGGCTGGACACTGGCTGGACGCTGGCTGAGCGCTTGTACTATGGACGACGACGCGGGACTGTGGCAGCATGCTGGGGCTTTTTGTTCTATGCGCCAGTCATTGCTAACGTGGAGCTGCCACCTGTCTACATTGTTGATGTGGCGCATGCCACTTGTCTACAAGGCTGATGTGGCGCATGCCACTTGTCTACATTGCTGATGTGCCGCATGCCACCCGTCTACATTGCTGATGTGGCGCATGCCACCTGCCTAAATTGCATTGTTGATGTGGCACTACCACCTGTCTTCATTGTTGATGTGGCGCATGCCACCTGTCTCTACTGCTGACGTGGCATTGGCCACGATGTCTACATGAGGTGATTGGTTGCAACAATTAGGGAGATCGGGATCTGTGGATGATTGGGATGTGGTACTCACCTGAGGTTGACGTAGTTACCGTGAACTGCTGTTGTCTTCATGGTCTCCACAAGATAATAGTGCCATCGCACTTCTGTGTGATCAGGACCTATTAGACTTGTTACTGTATATTGGTTGTTGACGTGGAGGCGAGGGGAAGCCCGAAGAAGGAGTGAGAAAGGATTGGGGCTACTCTTGTGTGTTCATTGATTACCTTTTCCACCTTCTCCTCTCTTCGTCTTTGGTAACGAGATATTGTTTCAGATATCACTTCATGTTAACTGGAGACATTGTGCAGATCTGAGTCTACTTAAGCTTCGACGTCTGATGAGTATCTTCCAATCTGGGTTCATTACATTTTGGTATCGGAGCATACCTCATTTTGGTATCGGAGC